TTAATTCCTGTGAGGGTAGACTCCAGTACAGGTTTCTCTGTTTGGAATAATGTTCCTATCTGATTAGCTACTAACCTGTTAATATCATTAGTTTCTGTGATCCATATAGAACTTTCAGACTTGTCTGGAGGTTTCAATCTTGGGAAAGAATAAAATTATGGTTGGAATAGTTCAAAAAGTGGCTAGGGTTCTGAGGTTCTGAGGCTAAACTGGTAGCTTTTCTTACTCTAATTTCTGGGTTAGGAATAAAGAGCATGCTCACGTGCTCTGTCTCCCCTGGCCCATGCTCTCAGCACAGTGACAAGTAGGGGTTTGCTTTTATTTTATTTTTTTGTTCTTTGTTATACTGGGTTCTGCCCCATCTCTCTAAAAAAATCTTATAAATCATTGATGAGAATATTTCTATTTTTGTCTTAAATATCCTGGCCAAGTAAGCCTTATGAATACTTTCCAAATCAAGTGCTGGCATTGCACGATGCCTCCTCATTGATGGCAGGCCCATTTCATTGTTTTTTTTTCTTTCACATCTTGGCTCTGCTGTTTATGGCAGCATTGCCAAGTCTCAGCTTGAGGGTGGTGGAGGCAGGGCTGACCTTGGTAGAGAATGCTGTGCGGCCTCCCTTTTTTGGGGAGCTGTTCCTTTCCTTCTTCCTCATGACTGTCACACAACCCTCTGACTTGAACTTTTAAAGTCTGAAATGCTGCAATTGATGACTGGTGTTTATTCTCAGTAAGGTTTCCTCTGCCATCTGCCCTGCCTCTGCACTCCCTTCCCTTCATCCATTCCGTGCCTAGAAATTCAACTCACTTGAAAACCAACTTTCACTTGAACATTCAATGCTCAGCATATGATGTTAAGTGTGAAAGAGACCCTCGCATATGCTACACTGCAGCCTCCATTCAGATCATGTCTCTCTTGTTTCCTACTATAGGGCCTGGCACATGATAAGTACTCAGTAAATGAACTGAGAATAAATTAAAGGCCTAAAGGATTAGATGCCCTATGCATTGTATTTCCTTTTGTCCTAAGAGCTGTCTGGATCTAACCCCTGTCGATGGTTCATGCAGAGTGTTCCCGAGGCTTGAAAATTATGACCTGCTGAGAAAGTAACATGATTGCAATACATCTTTCTAGATGATCCCCAACTTGTTTGGATTTATCTTTTACTTTGGTTTTTCTTCATTATTCAGATTAGTAATTTATATTACCTGTCCCTGGCTCAGGAAGTGTGTAGTCTGGTTCTCTCATCTGAGTGAGTCTTGTATTCCAGACCAGAGTAGAAACACCTGGTGGAAGAAACTGTGTCTGTTTATTCTGTAGCCAAAGTGTAAGGTTCCATGTAGCAGGCAGTTAATAAATGGTTTCCAACTGGTTGATTGAATGAATAGGTCTTGAGCCTGACACCCACTTTTATTTTTAACATTAAAGGTTAGAATCTAAACTCCAGAAGGAATGAGCACTGTAGTTTCAATTCCCTTTATCATGACTTGCATAGCCTTTGTCTGACAGCACAAAGTGTTATGGATTTACACAGCTTATTTAATTGTATAGGTACAGTAGGAAAATGTTAGATAAATCAAAATTATGCAGGAGACTGGGCAATTGTTATTATCCTTTGCAATAAAATTAGATGCTTCAGAGAATTCATTCCTTGATATTTTGATGATTGCTTTGATGACGTACTTTCTTTGTTGTGGTTTACATGACAATGGGAAATGATAAACTGGGAGCTCTGGAACTGTCCATCAGTTCAGTACCAAATGGATCGAAGCTCACCATGATCAATGATGGGCTAGCTGCCATTGATGCCACACTCTTTGTCACTGAGGAGCAGATGTATGCCTGTGGCTCAAGGCCAAATGTAAATATTTGGACACATAGAGAATGAAGATATTAGTAAAATCACCTGAAGAAAGAGGAATCATTTGGAGTAAGTGTAGAAGGAGAAGTCACATCTTACAAGCCAGAACTGTGCTGAATACCTAGGAGGTGCTCCAAAAATGTTGTTGGCAACCTGGGCAAAGACAGAGGGAAAGAGGGAGACACAAGAGAGTGAGTGGGCAAGGCTGGGCTGGGATGCAGGGAATTGTGTTCTGGGTCTGAAGCACAAGCCTGGGGCATCTGAGCCAGTAGCTGGGGGCAAATCTGATTGGTTGATTGGAGGCTGAGTGTGAAAGTCCTTGAAGTGAAAATTCTAAAGAGTTTAGACTTTCATCAGAAGCCAAGGGGTGTTATTGAACACAGATGGGAACACAACCCAATCTGAACTGTGCTTCAGCAAGTAGGGCTGACATTGTTGAGGGTTGTGTTGGAATGGAGAGAACTGGAAACAGAGGACATAATTGAGAGGCAATTATAGGTGATGGGGCTTGCCTGGATAGGGAGGTCATGAACCCCAGCAGGAGCTGTGGGTGGGAGGGGGGCTTTATGAAGACAGACTGCAATTCTGCGCATGTCTTTCATAGTGGTTTGCCTTGGAAGCCTCTGTTTCTTGTCACCCTCTGCCATCACTCTGCTGTATTATGCCTGCAGTTTTAGTCTGATTTGTAATCTGACAGCATAGGAGGTGAGAGAATGGGCTTTGGTAGACACCTGCATTTGAATCTGACTTTATGACCATCTGTCAGCCATGACCATAAGCAAGTTACTTATAGGCTCTGAGCCTCAGGGTCCAAGCCTGTGGAGCTGGGATGAGCATAATCTATCTCCCAATTTTGTTGTATGGATTAAATAAGATCATACTGGCCAAATGTTTAGTGTTGTTCTAGGGATATAGGAAACACCCAAATGGACAGTCAGTATCATGAAGACATTTTAGTTCACTGCTGTCATTACTTCCTTAGGCACCAGTGGTCAGTGTGGGAGGGTCTCTTCATGTAGGAATCCTACATGAAGATGAAAACCTCACATGCTTAGCACATATCTACCTCACTGATGTGGTTGGGAAACACATGTGTTCTCCTGGGTGCATCTTCCTGTCTGGTTTCTGACCTCGCACATCAAATGCTGTTCATTTCACAAGCTGGCCCAGAGGGGGACAGCAGGAGATGATAAAGGTGCTCTCGTTTCTAATGGGACAGTTTGTTAGAATCACCCTATATGGATCTGGAAGACAAAAATAATACATGGCTTCTGTCCTGGGAGACTTCTGCTGGGGAAGAAGTGAGGCCCTACATAAAAGCTCACAGGACAATGAGGCAGGTGGCTGGGAAGGCCAGATGCAAGGCTGTGGAGCAACCTAGGCTGACTTGGTGCCCATCAGGATGGTCAGCCTCTCCAGGGCCTCAGGGAAGTGGCGGGTATGGGGCTGCACTGTTTGGGCTGCCTGGGGACAGCTGTTTAACAGCTATCTTGTCACCTTTGGCTAAGGGCTGGAGATGGATCTGCAGGTGATACTTGGAGGTGATGAAGCCAGAAAACTCTTTGACACTGAAGACTTTTCTCAAAAGTAAAAATGAAATAAAAGAAAACGAAGACATTGAATATAAGTGAGTGCTGGGGAGTCAAACTACAGAGGCTTCTCCTGGCTGAAAAGGATCCTGGAAATAGTTGAGGAACATTGGTCAAGAGGCTGCTGGATCCCTACCCAGTCACTGTAAAAAACAGTATGAATAAGGCAGAAGAAGGAGGGAGGGACCCTTGAGGGTTTGAAAGTTTAAACCAGGACAAGGTTCATTTGGGAAGTAGGTGTGTGTTTTTAAGCATCACGCTGTGTTGGGTATAGTTGCTTTCTCCAGCGGGGGGAGCAAAAGGCTGTCTTCAGAGCCAGAGGGGCAGAAGGGACACTGCTCCAGGGCCCAGTTTTGAAGCTGAGTCCCTTTGGCATCAAATCACAGATGTCTTAGGAAAATGGAAGTTGAGGCCCATTATTGCTCTTTTCTGCTTAACTGGGATTCTTGAGATCAGAGTATACGCTTTGGAAATTTGACTGCTTTTCTTGTTTGATTGATTGATTGACTGATTGATTGGCTGACTGCTCTAGCCTGCAGACAGGCTATAATTTGGGTTAGATGGCAACATTTAAAAAATAAGACTTTAGAAGGTCTGGACATGATAGGCCCCAATTCTTGGGCTGAGCAGAGAGGGACCACATACTTTCTAGTTATGCCCAGCTATCTTCTCATTTTAGGCTGCCTACCTGGTCTTCCATGCACTGGGTTTGTAGCCCCATGGGGGTCAGCTGCACCACAGATCTCCAGGAGTACTCTAGGGTTAACAGGCTTGCGATGTGATATGTACCTCAAATTTCTGCCTTCGCCAATCACAGCCAGTGTTCTGAAACCAAGGTGGTCATCTCCCACCTGTTTTGAGCTTCCACAGTTTCTCTGTTTTTCCAAGCATGCATGTAATCCAGCAGCCAACAGATTTGGACAGTGGGGAGAACAGGGTGGTATGTGGCTAGGATCAGGGCATCCTTAAAAGGGGAGTGTGTCAACTTTAAAAAATAGTTCAGATGTTGGTGTGGGGGACATCCAGTCCGGTCCTAGCCTGGGAGTTTACAGAAAGATATAGTGAGCTTATAAAAATGGTCCCTATGGGGACCTGTGGGGAAAAAAATTGCTTATTTCCCTGCCTCAAAACCACCAGGAACTTGGAAGAAATGGAAGTACATGTAATCTCATTTAAACATATTTTTTCAATAATGTTGTTACTTAAAAATTTATGAATGTAAACACTTATTAATTATAAATTGTTGATAGTATATGCATAGAGATATTAAAATGTAGAACAAAGTCAAATGCTTTCAGTAGAGAAAAGAAGAGATCTTTATTTAAAAAGCCATATCTTTTCTAGAACACACATGTGTTGAGAATTAGACCAGGGGACCTCCTAAAGCCCCGAGCCCTGAAGCTCTATGGAAATGCATCTTCTTAGTTTCCATCTAGTCAAATGGTTAAACAATTCTGCAAAACTCCGTCTGTTCATCAGTTATGCTGTCTCTAGCTGTGCTCTAACTAACATCGTACTAAGAATTGCATTTTTCTCTCTCCTGACTTAGATTTAAATCTTGCAATCACTGCTGGGAAGTGAGCTGTATCATCTTGAGAAATCAGACCACAGAGACGGGCCTGCAGCTGGCAGGCTGGGTCATCTTTAATCGCTTAACCCTTCATATCAAAGGATGGCTTGTAGCAGCAGATTCCTTCTCCAGAATTTGCCATGGCAGATTTTCTCAAGGAAAAGCTGTGAGTTAAAATGAAACAGAGTGTGTACTGCAAAAAACCTTGCCTTGTAAATTGACTTGGTGCCTATACACATGGCTGATTTTATGTGTATCTCCATATAACTCTCTCCTTGTGGGTCTGTGTCCATGTTTGGGTGAATATGTGACTGTGGTGTGTATGTACACTTTCCTTTGTGTGAGAATATGTGGTACACCTTTATGTGCATGTGTGAATGTGAGTGTGTGAATGCCAGTGGATATTTTGTGTGTCTGTGGGAAATTGTTTCTTGTGTTGTAAAATGAGAGTCCGGCTACTCAAGGCAGGCATAGTAGGTTCTTTTAAAAATGGGTTAAATTATTCCTTCCACGTCTTTGTATTAGTGCCCTCCTACCCATACTGTGTGCTTGGCCATGTGTTTTTCTTTTGCCAATGACACATTTCCAAACGAGACTCAAAGAGGGACCTGATAATTTCAATTTGAAGTTGTCTTCTTTTACTGTTTTCAGAAACCCTCAACCACCACAATGTCCATGTACCTGAGTTAGTTTACTGGAAACATATGGCCCAATCACCCCTGTCATCACAGACTGACAGCCACCAACTGCTAGACATATGAATAAGGGCATCTTAGACTTAGCAGTTCCCATCCTATTTGTGAGCTCTGCTGCCCCAAGTGCGAGCCCTGGGGAACTCAGGAGAAGAACTACCTGCTGAACACAGCCCAGATTGCCCACTACAATAATACATGGCTATCAGTTCAAATGCCCAAATTTTGAAGTAATCTGTCACGCAGACACAACTAACTGAATGATCTCCTTGGGAAGGAAAACATCTTTCTATTGGAGAATAGGGTGTTGGGTGAGGATTGATGGGCATTAGTTATAGGGAAACATATAATTCTATTTTTAAACATTCTTTATAATGTCTGCCTCACTTTGTGAGTTAAAAAAACAGCAATGAACTTGTATTTGAGGACCTATCATTAATTCTTACACAAGAATGCACATTAACAAGACAAGTGTGGCACAAAATGACAGTGCCGGGATGCTCCAGCAATACTTTATTGAGGACATGGGAAGAAATCTGTCAGTCCATTTTATGTTGCCAACAACAGTGCCAAAGAGTGATAAGTTATGAAGAAAAGAACTTAGTTTTCACTCGTTGTTCTGGCTGAAGCTTGAGGAGCAGCATCTTGTTATGGACTTCTAGCTGGCAGCACTCCAAAGTAGCATAGGCAAGAGATAGGGATCTTGTGCGCACATGTGTGTGTGTGTGTGTGTGTGTGTGTGTGTGTGTGTGTGTCCTCTTATTTGTCTCTCTCTCTCTCTTCTTCCTTCTTCACCCTTAATTTATGGGAATTCGATCGTGGAGGCTTCACCCTGTTGATCTTATTTAATTCTAATCAACTCCCAAAGAAAGATCCCACCTCTAAACACAATAGGTGAACTAAGATTTAATTCTCTTAATACCTTTCAATGGATATTAAACTCCAACATGTATTTCAGTGGATACAAATTATATTCAAACCAGAATCGAAACCAAAAAGAAGCAAACTCAAGGAGGAAGCTATTCTACAAATCTGCTGTAGAATCTATGGCATGGTCTCTGGAAGTGATAGGATTCGTCTCATCCCGGCTCCCAGTCTAACTCTATAGGGTGGGCATCTCTTCAGCACTGATTGCCCAAGAGCTCACCCCAGGCATTTTGACTCCTTGAAGAACAGTTCCTATAAAATGAGGCTCTGAGAAAAATAAGATTCTCTTCCCTGCCTGAGGCCTGCCTTTTGGGAACTTGCTACCTCTTTGGATAATTGACTCTAGGGAAGATTGTCCCTCTCCAGGGAGAACACAGGTACTTTCAGGGACAAGACCTTTGCCTTGCAGACCGCAACATGATATTAGGATTAATGATTAGCCTACACTAGATTGCTTTTCTTATTACACAGAAACAGAGATTGAGCAAGACCCCCCCCCCCTCTCTCTCTCTCTCTCTCTCTCTCTCTCTCTCTGTGCATGTGTGTGTGTGTGTGTGTGTGTGTGTGTGTGTGTGTGAATGCGAGAACACTGGCTTTGAGGTCAGGGCACATGATTTTGTAGTTTCAGCCCCAGTACTGCTTTACAAGAAACTCCTACTTGATGTGATTGAGGAGGTTTAAGATAAAATTAATCTACCACTAATATCAATACTTTGAGTCTGAAAGATATTTTATTTCTTAGTTTTTTCTTAAAACACAGTAACACTCATTGATACCCTTGTTATTGATTAACACCTAAGTAGGAACTAGCAGAGTTAAGGCAGCGGGTGGATGTTTATGGAGTGTTAGAGGACTCAGATGGATATGTGGGTACCAAGTATTTATTGTATTTCCTACTTAAGAGTTTGTCCAGGTCTGGACCTGCGCAGCCTTTTTAGAAATAAATATATCTCACACATTGGTCAAAAATGTGTACTGTATCAAACAGGTCAGTCTCAATATGGTTTGCCTTTTTGGGGTAGATTTATAGATTTTATCTGTGAGAGAGTAATAAGATAAGACAGGGTAGAATTAATGGCATTATCATTATTATTAATATAATTAATACAAATGAAACTCATTTTCTTACCAAGTACTAGTTATTGTGCTAGCCCCTACCTGCAAGTATATATTATTGTAATTGACCTGTTTTCAAGATATGGAAAATAAAATCCTTAAGTGGAAAAGTCAAGGTTTTCATTTATAGGTGCTGGTGTCAGAGCTAAAATTTGAATACAGCAGGCCCGTTTGGTACTAAATCACAGTATTATGGTTTAGATCTAAAATGTCTCTGCAAAGTCTCATGTATTCAGTGGTGGGGATTCTGAAAGGGGATTGGATCGGGGGGCACTATATTCATCAGTGAACTAATCTATTGATGAGTTTGTAACTGAATGTGCTGTTAGGAGGTGAAGCCTGATTAGAGGAAGTGAATCACTGGGGATGTGACCTGGGAGGGTGTGTGCTTCTCCCTAGTTCCTCTTATCTGCCTTTCTGTTTCCTCTTTGCCCTGGGGAGTCACTTCTTCTTTCACCTTACTCTTCTACCATGCTGTGTTTGCCATGGAGCCAATTTACCATGGACTGAACATTCTGAAACCATGAGCCAAAATAAATCTTTCTTTAAATTGCAGGTATTCGGTATTTTGTCTCAGCAATAGGCAAGTAACTAATCCACATTGCCTTTATTTTTATTTAGTGTTTTTTAGGAGATATTTCAACCACACAGAAAATGTCAGAGAGCAGCACAACATATAACTAAGTACTTGCCGTCCAATTTCATTAGATTTTAACATTTTGCCATGCCTGCATTATATTCCAGTTTTTTATTGAAATATTTATCTTTTAAAATTTTATACACAGCCCTTCTTTGAGGGATATGGATATTAATTATATGGGTTACAGTTATCTTTATTTGTGATTACATTTAATAAGTAGAAATTTTAACTTACATTTAATCAGACATTTGTGGTTAAGGTTTTTGGTCTTTAGGAACTTTTCTGTAGTTAGTGATTTGTGTGCTCTGTTTCTTTTGTTGTCATTTATTATTTTGTTTAGTAATTTAATAATTTCTTCATTTTTCAAGTAATATTTAATGCATGCAAGTAGTTTTTAAAAATAAACTGAAATACAAATTGTATGTATCTGTGATGTACCACTGATAGTTTGAAATCTTAAACACTGTGGAATAGCTAAATAAAGCTAGTCAACTTGTCCCATGGTACAGTATTCTGTTGTCTATTGCTGTGCCACTATCACAGTATTGCTTTATTATTGATATGGGCAGGCAACCTCTCTTCATGTTATTCTTTAATTTTGTTTAGATAATCTTGACTTTGTACTCTTTCATATGCATTTTAAAATCATCTTGTCTAGCTCCAAAAAATCGTGGTCAAAATTTGGACTGTAATTATGTTGAATTTATAAATATTAATGTGGAAGTTCAAATATATCTTTATGTAATCAAGTCTTCTCAACCATGAAAATGGTGTATATTTTCATTTATTTAATGATTCTAGGTAACATTTGAACATATTCTTTATACAGCTCTTACCTAGATTTTTAAGTTTTTTCCTTTAAATTTGTTATTATAAATGAGATTCTTTTCCCCCCATATTATTTCTGCAAATTGGTGTCAGAAACACTATTAGTTTTTAAAAGATTATCTTCTGTGCATAAGGCTTATAAATTAGGCTCCATTAGTTTATCATTTGTTCTACATATTGATAGGTTCTTTTATATTTTCTACCTGTATAAACATATTCCTACAAATATTTTCTATCTACCTTTCCAATTTTTTATCATATTTTAAAACTCTTCATATTATTTCTTGGCTAAGATATCTAAGACAAACATTTTTTGTGTGCTTATTTAGAAAGTCATATGATATTTCTTCTCTTTATTGGAACAACTTTATATTTCTTTGATAAAAGTATTTGGTTGCATTTCAAAAATATAGTCCTAAAGCTTATTTGTTTATATTTTATTTAGGACTTTTTCAATATTTGGTCTACAAGAATGGTTTCCAGTGCTCTTACCTATCTTATATTTGTTATATTTTGTTATTAATAAAATAGGGTGGGTAACTTTCCCTGTTTTTGTCTCTTTCAAACATTTTGAACAAGATATAAGTTTTTCGATTCTTATAGATTTGCTAGAGTTACCTGTAAGACTGCATTTGGTGTGTTATTGTGTGTTTATGGATGGAGAGGGGAGGAGATTTTGATAAATGATTAATTCTTCCATAGTTCTTCATTTAATCAGTCTTTCTATTTCTTCTTGGGTCAACTTTGGTAATTCATAGTTTCTAGAAAACTTTCCATTTCATATCTATTTTATGGTTACTTCCAGCTGGATATAAGTTTTGAGGCTCTTGTTCTGTATCTCATACCTGGTCATGGAATCTGTGGTTGTCTGGCCTCACTTTCTAGCCAGCAGTCTATAATATTCATTTTTTTTTCTCTGTAGTTTCACTGCCTAGAATCTTCATGGAGCTATTGCCCCAGCAG